GATACTACTTAACAATGGTAAAAAAAAAAAAAAAAAAAAAAAAAAAAAAAAAAAAAAAAAAAAAAAACCAAGACCGGGCCCGGGGGGGGGGGGGGGGGGGGGAGGTAACCAAAAAGAAATGTATTCAAGTGGGACCAGATACTGGAGTTAGCAGACAAAGACTTCAAAACAGTTATTACACATTCGTTCAAAGACTTAAATAAAGGAATTTTAATGACAATGACTAAATAAGAAATGTCAATGAAGACCTATGGAAAAACAAAAAGAAACAAAGGGAAGGTTTAGAGTTGAAATGCCCAAAACCAAAATGAAAAATTCACTAGTCTAAAGAGCAAATTTGATAATGCAAAAGAATAAATCAGTGAAATAGAAAATCTTAGAAATTATCCAATCAGAAGAATGGAGGGGGGGAAAAGATGAAAGAAAATTAAACACAGCCTTGAAGATTTATGGATAAAACAAAGAATACCAGCATATACATAGTATGTTGTTGTTGTTGTTAAGTGCCGTCGAGTTGGTTCCGACCCATAGCGACCCTGTACAGGGTTTCCGAGGGTGTAAATCTTTACGGGAGTAGAAAGCCTGATCTTTCTCCCGTGGAGCAGCTGGTAGTTTCGAACCGCTGACCTTAAGGTTCGCAGCCCGATTCGTAACCACTACACTACCAGAGCTCCTTATACATAATATAGTGAGTCTGAAACACAGGAAAGAGACAGGAAGAAAAACAGAAGAAATAATAGTTGAAAACTTTCCTAATTTGATGAAAAATAATCTACAGATCCAAGAAAACCAATATAGTGTAAACAAAAAAAGATTTTCACATAATACTCCATAACCAAACTGTTGAAAATAATTAACAAGGATGCAAATCTTGCGAACAGGGGAAGGGAAAAAAAAAAAAAAGGGACATTTGGGTATCCATAAGCCAAAAAATGAACCTAGACTATTACCTCATAGCATACACACAAAACTTAATTCAAACTTGATCACAGACTTAAAATATCAATTAAAACTATAAGACTTCTAGAACACAGATCCAGCAAATGTCTGACCAAAGGGCCAAAAAGTAAACATTTTAGGTTATGCTGGTTATAAGGTATGACACAACACTGTCATTACAATAGGAAAAGAACCATAAACATTTTATAAATGCATGTTGTTGTTAAATGCACTTGAGTTGGTTTTGACTTAAAGTGAGTCTGTATAGGGTTTCCCAGGCTGTAAATCTTTGTGAGAGCAAAAAGTCCCCTAGCACAAGCAGCTGGAGGACTTGAATCACTGATCTTGTGGTTCCACAGTCCAGCGCTTATCCTACTGAGACACCAAGCTCCCCTATTAAATGCATGGATGTGGCTATATTCTAATCCCTTTATATGCAACATGTGGTTGGACAATGTGATCTGCAGGTTAGGCTTTGCCAATTCCCCTTCAAGAAAAAAAAAAAGAGAGAGAGAGAAAATCTCTGACTGAATTAAGCAAACATTTCTTAATAATAGTAACCATATAAGAAAACAGCAGATAAAATAGTTAATCAAAATGTAAATCTTCACTCTTAAATTGTTGTTGCTAAGTGCTGTCAAGTTGGTTCTGACTCATAGAGACCCTGTATAGGGTTTCTGAGGAGCATCCACTAGGTTAGAACCACCAATTTGTGATTAGCAGTCCTGTACTTACAAAAGTGAAAACTTAAGTCACAAAATGAGAAGGAATCTGCACAATCATATATCTGATAAAAGACTTGTATCTACAATATATAAAAATCTTATACCTCAATAACACAAATTACACAAATAAAAACTGGTCAAAACACATGAATATATATTTCACATAAAATATACAAATGGCCAATAAACACATGGAAAGATACTCAACATGATTATCATCACAGAAATAACCATCAAAA